GATAGATAGATAGATAATGAACAATATGTGATAGATAATGAACAGTATGTGATAGATAGATAGATAGATAGATAGATAATGAACAATATGTGATAGATAATGAACAGTATGTGATAGATAGATAGATAGATAGATAGATAGATAGATAGATTAACGTTTCAGTTATTATTTTGGTTGGTAACTATATCCATTATTATTTTTCAAGTAATTGTAGCCAATTTTCTATGAAGTTTAGTTTTGTTATAACTGCTTCAAGAACAAAATAGCAGATTTAATTGATAAAAAAAAACAAAACAAAGCAAAAATAGTTTCAAAACCCGAAACAGAAATTTACAGTATATATTGTAAAATATGCTACATGGATAAATAAACAAATAACTATATAGATAGATAAATAGATAAATGTCACGTACCTGCATTCCGTTTACTAAAAAGTCCCAATGAGGTTTAAGAGTCCTTTGATTGGTCGCCGTTTAAAAAAGCATTCTACAATTTGTGTTCTTTCTTCCGCTTTTATTTATTTTTTTTACTGTCGATTCAACATCCGTGGCTTTCTGGGAATCGAATGGTCTTTATTTGTATTTTTATTTGTATTTTTTGTTTGCTTTAATGGCGTCTGACAATGCAAACAGAATGTCCTTTTGCAGTTTTATAGAAGCTGCGTAAATTTTCGCACAAAAAGTCTCTAATATCTGCAAAACCGACAAAAATACTGATTAGTCACCAGTAATGTGTGTGTGTGAGTATGTGTGTGTGTGTGCGTGAGTGAGTGTGTGTGTGTGTGCGTATGAGTGTGTGTGCGTGTGTGTGTGTATTGCACAATTAAAATTCTTTTCTTTGTAAAGTTTTATTCTGCTTGTTGATAAAGAACTATCATAACAAAAATTTAAAAAAAAATGGCTGTTATTGTCATTAATTCACATTACTTAAATTCTGTAGCGTTGTTGACGATGTCTTAGTTTTATCTGTGAGAATTACTGGAATTGAATCTGTTTTCCAAATTAAGGGAATCCAGTTCCAAATACATATATACATATATTTATTTATTTATTTATTTATTTATTTATTTTTTGAATATATAAATAAATAAGATCGAATAAACGAATGAAAGATCCCGGTATTTTTTTTCTTTCAGTAAAATTTAAATTGTAAAACAGAGCAGAAATCAGAATGGAAATTTAAATCGATAAACTGAAATATTTTTTAATAGATTAAACATAGTTTTTTTTTTTTAGAATTTTTTTTTTTTTTCAGATGAGGAAAGTTTTACTCTTTTAAGTCACTCGTTTTTGATTTTACTATAATTTTTTTCTCATTATTATTATTATTATTATTATTATTATTATTATTATTATTTGTTTTGGTGTCTGTCAGGTCGTCATTCTAAGGTTATCATTGGTGTAAATAAATTCCAACTCATTCTTTATAGAGGAAAGTCTCTTATCTAAATATATTTTAAATTTCTCTTATTTTTGTACGAGATATTTTAGTTATTTGCTAATTAATTATAAATTTTGTTTAATTAAATTTTTTGCTTTTTATTTAAAATTTTACTGTTTTCAAATTTTAAAACCTATGAATTTTTCTCGAAGCGAAAAGAAAATGTCCACTAAATTAAATACAAAAGATTGGCATTTATAATAAAATATAAATGTTTCAAAACGTTTTATAATCTCCGTGCGAATAAATTTGTATATTTATATAATATATATAGAGAGATATATATAGATATAGATATAGATATGTTGTTGTTGTTGTTGTTGTTGTTATTCTTGCGGTGGATTGTTTTATATTTGTTTTTAAATTGATGTGCAAAAATAAAATACAATTTAATTTTATTTTTTTTTTAAACTTGTATAGAAAAAAAAAGAAATAATTTCTTGTCACCGCTCAAATAAACTATATATTGAAAATATTTGTCAAATCGTGGAAATTCAAATTTCACCTGTTTGTGTCACACCTGGCTGTTTTGAAAGAAAATTGCCTTGGAAATTGTCACTGTGCTTCGAAATCCTTGGCGTTTTTTCCCCCTTCAAATTTGCAACCATATAACGAAAAATAATCCAATGTGCTTAAAATATGAGTCGATCTTTGCATGTGCGTATGGCCGATCACTGGTTGTAATGACGAGTGTCACGTTGCGCACCTTGTCGAGTCAGTAATGTGACCATCACTGATTCGTAGCACCGGCATCGTGGCCAATTTTGTGTGTGACTCGTCCTTCCTGGTTGAGAAAGGGCAACACCCACTTCGACCGAGCATTCGAGTAAACAAGCCAAGGACAGCCGCAGTCGGACGACCCACTACCAACGAACATTCCCCCCCTCCTTCTAACAAAAACAACAATAAAAAAAAAAACTCAAAAAATATTTAATGATTTCGCCCCACCTTCTCATATTGACTATCAACACCCAACCCAGAATCTTTTCTTAACACCCCCCCTCTCTATCTTCCCTCTTCTCTTTTTAGATCCCGCCCTAAAATGTTCTTTTTTTTTTCTTTCATTTCTCTTTATTTATAGATGAATCTTTTTAAACTTTCTGTCGTCAGCACCCCCCCCCCCATCCTGATTAATATTCACCTATCTTGACACACCCACATTAAACAAATGTGACTCTTCTACCCAGGTTTCTATCGTGTTCTTGGATTAATTCTTATTGTTTAACGAACGTCGTTCACCTTTGGAGGGGGGACATTTTTTTCTTTTCTGTTCTGTTTTGTTCGTTCGTTCTTTCTTTCTTTCTTTCTTTTTTCTTTTTTTTTTATTCTGTCCTGCATTTCAGTTTACGATGCACTGTTTAACACTTTCTTTACTTTGTCTCTTCTTTTCTTATTCTCTCCCCCCCCTCCTCCGCAAGTTTTTCCTCCTTTCTCTGTCTTCCCAATTTATTCATTGACTTTCTTTTACAATAAACGGAGCATGGTTTCCCCCCCCTCACGCGCACATACACACACACACACACACACACACGCAAACACACACACACACACACACACGCGAACACACACACACACACACACACACACTGCCTATAGTTAGGCTGGTTTCTGTCCCGCCCACTAAAAAAAAACATCCAATCTTGAATTTGGAATTATGACTGGATTTATTACGGAAGCACGTCAGTGAAAAAAAATCCACTAGCCGTCAGCGTTTTATTTGCATTATGCACGTAAATTAATTCGTAAAGAAAAATAAAACTTACTAATCATCAACAAATTTCTAATAATAATAATAATAATAAGTACAGCCCACACTTTACGAAGGGCTTTGTTTTATGTATGTATTGTAAAATATTTGTTTTGTTTTGTCAGTGGAAAGTGTCATGATGCCATTTCTAACCTTAGGTCTCTGGGCGGGACCCGGAAAGAAATGTGTACAAGGCAGGAATTAAGGGAAATATAATAATAATAATAATAATAATAATAATAATATCTCGAAAATGTGGCATATGGGAACATCAACAATCCCTGTTGTAGTTGGAGCCCTAGGACTGGTTGGAAAAAGATTGCAGTAGACTAATTGTTCCTGTATCAACCATTTCTAACCTTAGGTCCCTGGGCGGGACCCGAAAAAAAAATGTGTAAATGCCAGAAATCAAAGAAAACAATAATAATAATAATAATAATAATAATAATAATAATAATAATAAAGAGTCGTAAATAATGTTATTCTTCAAAAAATAAAGTACAAATACATTTTTAATTCAATTATATATTATTCACCATTATTTGCAATGACTTGTTGCCACTTATCCCTTCGATATCTTCGACTTTGAGTAAATAAATTCTGCAGATTTTGATGTGAAAAAGTTCTCAACGAACTCTTGTATATGGTTTTGTTTTGGTGACAATTTTGTATATGAAAACACTTTGCCGCGATCGAAAAATGTAATAATCTGTTGTTGCCGGTCTCGCAAGAACAAACCAACCAAGTTTCCAAATTTTTTTAATGCCCTATTCTTACTGTAGGCTGCCTTGAGTTGTCTTGGAGGAGAACAACAAATTTCCTATTAAAGAGCACAGGTCGCTTTTCGACCAATTCTTTATAGACACGTCGCCGTTGCTAGACGTATAAATAGGCATTGGGTTATTTCATTGCGTAAAGAACGCTACATGAATAATATCTCAACGGCCCCTCCACATGTAGAACATTATCTTTCTTCCATGGAGCTCAGCTTTTCGGTTGGTTTGTGGAGATTTAACTTTGTCAATCCACTACCATTTTGCGTTGTACATTATCAGGTGCAAACCATTTTCATCATCTGTCAGGGTATATTTAAGGAAATGTTAGTTTGGATGATTCAGTGCTCGTTACAGTTAGTTCCCCCCCCCCCGCCAAAAAAAACGAAATTACTTATGTGTCGTCAAGGACCTCATAGCCCAGTGGATAAAGACGTTGGTTAGATCCAGTGACTAGACCTAAAGTGTTGTGAGTTCAATACCAAACCGCAACAGTGGTGAACCTAAAAACTTGGAGAGTTAAGTTAAAGGGAAAATAACCGAGACATCCGGAAGAGGCATGGTACGTGAACCTAGAACAATCTACACCGGTGGACGAAATAAAGGGTTCAGTTGGAAATTCCAATCACCTGAAGAGGGCCGGAGCGTACAACGGTCGAAACACAATGAAGATGGGGATAACAGTCCGAATAATGTAAATAATGCAAGAAATTGCTTATGATTCAATCTAATATTTATTTCGGCTATACCAGATTAATTTCCTCTTACAAAGCGTTCCAATTCGTTTTTACGTTTTATCAACCCTTTGCTGGTTAATTAAAGTCAGAAAATAATGTTTTTGATAGTAAATTTATTTGGGGAGATAATAATGATAATCATTTTACTAATTAACCCATAGCTGGGGGAAGAAGAGGTGGATTCATACCTTTCCCAAGAGTATTTGCACGGAAGTGAATATAACGAACCCAACTGGAATTGGAACTCGACTCTCCGATTAACAATTCTGAGCCATTATCCATTACACCACCTGCACATCCATGCTTACAGCACCTGGTATTCCTAAGCTGTCACCCATCTAGGTACTGACCAGATTCGACATTGCTTAACTTCGGTGACCGTATGTGAACCGGTGTTTCAACGTCATATGGTCGTAATCCGCCTTATTTCAACCTATAACCTTTGACTGTAACCATAAGTTTAGTATTGTTGGAAAGTATAATAAATAATATTAAAGGCTTGTTGGTTTTTGTTGATGTTTTGAATACAGTATGGAAGTTAGAAATGAAGACAAGCTTTTAGGAACAGAAACATTAATAATCAGCGAGAGAAAAGAGTAATCGGGAGGACAGTAGATAACGATTGACATTGCATTTAAATTTTTGCGGCTTAAAGTTAGCTGAAAACCATGAAGCCAGGATGGAATTCCACAAGTGAAACGCATGAGAAAAGAAACTGTTAGCATAAAACCAACGGCTACATCTAGCTAGCTTTTGTAGGATACCTACATACGATAATGGATATGTCCCCATTCACATAATTGCAGTAGTAAATACTGTATGTTGGCCTGCAGTTGGTGATTCGCCGCCAACTGTGCTGGTCAAATTCTCTGCCTCCGGGCAGAGATGATTCCCCAGATGAAGCTATATCGAAGGGCAGAGTCTTGTCTCAAGAAACAGCTGCTCGACCCCATTTTATACGAGATCTACGGGGAATTTGGGTCCGGACACCCCACATTAAATTTGGCCTTGTGTCACATCTGGCCGCGTGGGGTGGTTGATAGATATCCTGCAGTTGGAGATTCGTTTCCAGCTGTGCTGGTCAAACTCTCTGCCTCCGGGCAGAGAGGATCCCCAGATAAGGCTATGTCGAAGGGCAGAGTCTCGTCTCGAGAAACAGCTACTCGACCCCGTTTTATACGAGGTCTACGGGGAATTTGAGACCGAGCCTACAGGCTCGTCCACCCCACATTAAATTCGGCCTTGTGTCACATCTGACCGCGTGGGGCGGTTGGTAGATATCCCGCAGCTGAAGATTCATTGTGGAATTCAATTGACTCACTTCTAGCAGTTTACTACTTCTACGCACCGCTGGCGAATCTTATATGTGTTGTTCTTGTCCTAAGTATTATCTTATATTACCAACCTTTATGTGATTAATCTATTCAGTAACCTTCCCTAGGTTACAACACTAGCTCAACTTTAAAATGATGAGATCTTGACGCCAGTTTAGTTCTTCGCTTACATTCAGAAAATCTAGGTACCATAACAAAGAGCTTATCCGAAGAATTACGATGAAAATATTTATATAAAAAAAGGGGGGCATAGAGAAGCAAACTTATGGTGGTGGGTGAGTGAGTGAAGCCGAGCTGTCAGATCAAGACCAATAATATTGCTGATTATTATCAAGGAGCTCAAGCTAAACAGCAGGGAGATATTTTGTATTATTAAGAATTTTCCTTTGGAGCAAATGACAAAGCAATATTGAAAACCAAAATGCATGGTTGTTAGCAAAAGGGGTGAGCCCAACGGGCAAATTGCAAATGAGAGATACCAAAATCAAACTAGTGCGGAAATTTAAATACCTGAGGGGTGTTTTAACAGAGGACAGAAAGTGTGACACTGAAATCCGAAGTCGGCTTGGGATAGCCAAGGAAGTATTGCAAAAGCTAATCGGAGTACTAAGAAATAGAAAAATTCCTCTAGAAACAAGGAAAAGAGTGTTGAACTACTGCGTAATATCTGTACTCTTCTACAGCACTGAGTGCTGAACGATCTCCTCAAAGATGAAGAAGAGACTTGAAGCAACAGAAATGTGATTCTACAGAAGGATACTGAGGATATCATAGACCGAATATGTGGGCAGCGAAAAGTTTTAGAGAAAATAGAAACAAAGAGGAAACTAATACTTAACATCAGGAAGAGAGAGTTGAGGATTCTGGGGCACATAATGAAAAAAGAGGGTTTGGAAAATTTGATACTCACAGGACAGATTGAAGGCAAGAGGGACAGAGGAAAACAAAACATAAAATACTTAGTGTGCTTGAGTAAATGGATGGTGGGAGAAGGTTTAGGAGAATTAACAAGTCATTAACCAGTCTTTTTTCTTCGCCATTAACCAGTCTTTTTTTCTTCGCCATTAACCAGTCTTTTATCTTCATCATTAACCAGTCTTTTTTTCTTCATCATTAACCAGTCTTTTTTTCTTCACCATTAACCAGTCTTTTTTCTTCATCATTAACCAGTCTTTTTTTCTTCACCATTAACCAGTCTTTTTTTCTTCACCATTAACCAGTCTTTTTTTTTTCACCATTAACCAAGTCTTTTTTCTTCACCATTAACCAAGTCTTTTTTCTTCACCATTAACCAAGTCTTTTTTCTTCACCATTAACCAAGTCTTTTTTCTTCACCATTAACCAAGTCTTTTGTTTTTACTGCATTATAGTTATGATTGTTATATTACTAAAAAGTCCAGTCTCTCCGGAGTTTGAGAAATTTTCACAAATAGACTCACACCGTACTTCAGCACTTCACGATATATAGCGTTACGCAAAGTTCCTAAGATTATATATTAGGGGTGGACAATTTTTTTTTTTTCGTAGGGCCACATGTGTCGTCTGGGGAGACGCAATTAAAAAATAGACTTACGAAAAACAATCAATTCATCATTGATATTTAATTATAACCAAAATTTCAATATTCACATATTTTGCAATTTCAATTTGTGAGCATTATTACATGGTTAGAAAAAATAAGAGAATATGTAGTGAAATGCAGTATGGCCACACTTTATTATTGCTTGTCAAGTTCTGCAATATGCAATTCTTCAATAGCAGTTGTGGAACTGCATTGTATTTTCAGTTAGTACAAATGACCTTGTAGCATGATAATTTTACAAGAGCATTCAAATGAAATGAATGAATTGTTGTAGATTTGTAATTTATTTCCATTGGACATTAATTTATTTGGAAAAAGGGAAAACTGATGAGAGGAAAATCAAAATGTTTTCACTAAAAAGTTTATTTTAGTTTCGTCAGACTATATTTTGTATCAGATAAGAGCAGCTTTCTTGAAATGGTTATAAGACAACTATAGAACGACCATCATGTGTCTGTAATTCATCATATGGTTATTTTTTGTTTTTGTTGTTTTTTTGTTTTTGTTTTTTTTTTTTGTTTTTTGTTTTTTTTGTTTTTGATGGGTGTCCGATGATGTTGTCCAAGTCGATGGAATGTCCGACTAATTGTATCTTTCTTTGCTCACTTCTGATGCTAGCTGCTCACACGTCCTTCTTAATTTCTCCTCGGAATGTGAGTGGCTTGTGCATCACTTTGCGACAGATTAATCTAGCTGCTTATTCACATACTTTATAGTCCTGAGTATAACGATAAACTACATCCGACAGCAAGGCCTCTGATCGGGAGATTGAAGGTTTTGAGGAGCATCGAACCACCTCTTAGTTGCTGTTGTTCCCAGGTCCACCCTGACCCAGGGTCGTAGCACCTGTTAGGGTCCCAGCTATAGGCAAATAGTGACACCCCCCCAACAAAAACAAAATACTATGAAAGTATAAAAGTACATTTTTATAGTAAAAGTAGCAACAATAAATTTTTATTTTTGAGACATTACCAACAATACCTATTTATAGTAGAATTATCGTCAATATATTTTATTTGTAGTTGAAAGCATACAATTGCGTTCAAAATATTTCTGTATTAAATAACCCATAGAGGTGTTGATATGCCACTAAACAAAAAATGAAACAACATGAAAGAACTCTTTCATGATGTTAATCCATATAATATCCTACAATTTCTTAAAGAAATTAAACTGTATTCCAAAATATAACTTGAACAAAAGAATGGATTTATTGAATGAGAAGTTCCCAGATCGCATTATCTCTCGGAACAGTTAAGTCAATTGGCCACCATGATCGTGCGACTTGGCGCCTTTAGATTTCTTCCTTTGAGGTCATTTCAAAAGTAAGGTCTATGCCAACAAGCCAACAGCAATTCAGTGGCTGAAGGATGAGATAACAAGGCATATTGGTGAGACCGAGAAGCAACTATGTAGAGACGTCATCAAAAAGTTTGACCATTGAGTGGAGGTGTGCCGCCGAAGACTTGACAGACATTTGAGCAATATTATTTATCACACATAATTGGCATGACTTAAATAACATGATCCAATAGAGAAATAAATAAATTTTAACCAATAACCCTGATTTATTTACTGCTGAATTTGATCCGTCTTAACGAAACACCCTTTGCAACATTAAACACGCATATCACCGACTCAAGTAATTATGCCCACATAATGTATATGCCCAAAAGCTGAGTATTATCTACCCTGTACTCAATTGTGAGAACAAAATAACATATATCATATTTTTATTACTTCAACGGTCCAAAGAAAAGAAAATGTCAGCATTAAAAGACTCATGAGGAGCTAATCATAGAAATAAAAAATTCCCATATCCCAGCTAAATATCCATTATTCGCCCAAAGCGCTCTTTTTACTCGGTGGAAATTTGCAAATTGATAATTCGAATAAAAGTGAATCCCAAACAGAAAATGTTTTCTTGTTTCGGGGTGTGTCTAAATGTTTGTGTGTTGCTTTCTATTGTATAAGGCAACAAAAAATGTCCTTGACTTCTTTTTACATGGAAGTGATCATTGATATGCAACTGAGTGCGTCACATGCCGGGAAATCTGTGAGGTGGGGGAATTGCTTTTGACCAATGTTGGTGCGTTTTGAAAACCCATCAAATCATAGCTCGAGCAGCAAATAAGAAACATATTTCGTTAAATAAGCAGCTTGTTCGGTGTTGTCTGCTTTATGACCTTAAGGTGGGCTTGTTCGCAAATTTTCAAATCGCCGAATACGTCCAGCCTTTGGTGATAATACTGGGAGTGAACGCACCGCCAGTCATTGATTCCAGAAGATCAGGTCAGGAGATCTGTCCATTTTTGATAAACCTCGCAGTGACTGGCCATAGATCCTGAAAAATGAGGCCCCGAAAGCGGCCATAGAGGAAGACAACAGCCAAATCTGGTGAGCTTGCCGAATACTACCAGGTTTCTGGGGGAAGAGTTAGACTTGCCTGTCCCGCATAGGGAAAGCGTATGAGCAAGTGAATACCCCACGCACTATCGGA